CAGTGGCAAGAAAAGTTGTAAGAGGATGGAGCAAAATCCGCCAATCTGCCGTCTGGGTGGAGCCGCAGAAATTTTGGGCTCGGCTCGCAGTCGTAAAGCGAGGACCGTCTGTGGCAGCCCACGTTTGGAGGCCCGGTTCTTCCTTTTCGGTGACCCTGAGGTGGCTTGACCTGATGCCACCTTCCTAAGTCCCCATAAGCCACTTCCACACCACCTGCTTGTCATTAGGAAGCAGGATTGAGCAAGGAACCAGGTCACTGTCTTATCCCAGCGTGTGGGTGTCCACACACACAGAACACACAAACACACACACACAAACAGGGCTGTCATTTTCTGCAGAAGACTAATTGGCACTTTTTGCTCTCTAGAGGTCCCAGCAGACAGCATGAAAAAGAAAAAAAGAAAAACAACGAAGATCTCCAGGAAATCCTAACATTTTAGCCAGCTTGGGAAATTGCAAAGGTATCCTGGGAATAAAGGAAAAGAGGTTGTGATTCTTGACGTAGGAAATGCTGCGGTGGGCGCAGTGACAAAGCCAGCGGGACTCTGAGGTTGTTCAGAATACAGGAGGAGAGAGTTGGGAGGGAGCATGGAGGTCATCTAGTCCAACCGCTCAAACAACCAGGGGTAGGCAACCTTGGCTCTTTTATGACGCGTGGACTTCAAGTCCCAGAATTCCTGAGCCAGCATGAGGGAACTATGGCCCCCTCATGACTCGTGGACTTCAACTCCCAGAATTCCTGAGCCAGCCTGGCTCAGCTGGGAAACCTCTCCCTTTCCCCTTGGCACAGCTGGCCCAGGAATTCTGGGAGTTGAAGTCCATGAGTCATAAAAGAGCCAAGGTTGCCTACCTCTGCCTAGGCCTAGGCCGCTTTATGACTCATGGACTTCAACTCCCAGAATTCCTGAGCCAGCATGGGGGAACTATGGCCCCCTCATGACTCGTGGACTTCAACTCCCAGAATTCCTGAGCCAGCCTGGCTCAGCTTGGAAACCTCTCCCTTTCTCCTCAGCGTGGCTGGCTCAGGAATTCTGGGAGATGAAGTCCACCAGTCATGAGGGGGCCATAGTTCCCTCATGCTGGCTCAGGAATTCTGGGAATTAAAGTCCACGAGGGGGCCATAGTTCCCCCATGCTGCCTGAGGAATTCTGGGAGTTAAAGTCCACCAGTCATAAAAGGGCCAAGGTTGCCTACCCCTGCCTTATATAGTTCTGGACAAACAGCTCTCCTGATCTCTCCTTAGGAACCTCCTTCCTTCTCCTTCCTTCTTCGCTTCCTTTTCCTTCTCCATCTCCTCCTTTCTGCCCCCTTCTCCTTTCTTCTGTCTCCTTTTTTCTTCCCTTCTTCCTCTTCCTTCTTTTCTTCCTTTCCTCCCTTTTTCCTTCCTTCTCTTTCCTTCTTACCTTCCTTCTTCTCCCTCCTCCTCCTCCTCCTCCTCCTCCTCCTCCTCCTCCTCCTCCTCCTCCTCCCTCCTCCTCCTCCTCCACATAAACCCCACTCCCTTCTAGCACTGATGATGTTCCCTAGCTGGGTCATGAAATGTCTGCAAGAAAAACTCCTAGCTGGAAGAGCACCAAGGACCACAAAGTCATCATCGTCTTCCTCCTCCTCCTCCTCCTCCTCCTCCTCCTCATAAACCCCACTCCCTTCTAGCACTGATGATGTTACCTAATTGGGTCATGAAACGTCTGCAAAAAAATCTCCAAGCTAGAAGAGCACCAAGGACCACACAGTTCTCCTCCTCCTCCTCCTCCTCCTCCTCCTCCTCCTCCTCCTCCTCCTCCTCCTCCTCCTCCTCCTCCTCCTGTCACCGAGAGGAGGGGAAGTCAAGCTGTTCTCCAAAGCCCCTGAAGGCAGGACAAGAAGCGAGGGATGGAAACTGATGCAGGAGAAATTCAACCTAGAAATAAGGAGAAACTTCCCGACAGTGAGAACAATCAACCAGTGGAACAAGAGTTGTCTTCAGATGTTGTGGGAGCTTCATCCCTGGAGGCTTTCAAGGAGACTGGGCTGCCGTCTGTCAGAAATGGTGTAGGTCTCCTGCTTGAGCAGGGCGTTGGACTAGAGCAGAAGTCTCCAACTCCCGGTCTGCGGAGCGGCATCAAGCCACGGCATGCCAGCCACCGGTCCGCACAAACAAGCAAAGCCCCATCCGTGGGATGCAGGCAGCACACAAAACCACACTCTCTCCAGTCCATGGAAAAACTTTCCTACACTTTTCTCCCTGGTGCCCAAAAGCTTGGGGGACCTCTAGACTAGATGACCTCCACGGTCCCTTCCAACTCTTGTTATTCCAATTCTACAAATGGTCCACTGCTTCCAAAACCTCTTTTGACTTTTTTTTTTTTTTTGCAAGCGACATCCCGATAAATATTCTGGTGGCTGCTTCTGATCCGTCCCCACCGCTTTTAAGAGTTTGGGCCGCAGTCACAAAAGCTGGACTGCCTCTGAGTAATTTCCACGGTGGTGTAAAAGCGGCCATCGGATCGTTTACGATTGATGCTCCAGGCCTGCCACCTGTCGACCAGTCAGAATATTGTTGGCATTAGTGGACTGGGGGGGGGGGGAGGAAGGAATTTCCTGGAATCCAGCTTGCTGGGCTACAACCCGTGACGGATTTTAGGACCTTCCTGGACGGCTTGCGCTGAGCAAAGTCAGTGGGGGAAGCTGAATATGCTTAAGGACGGAGGGATACACTGAACTGAGTGATTCGTTTAAACCCCCCTGGCGAAAAGGGTCGTAAAAGAGAAGGACCAGGCGGGACGTGATAGCAGTCTTCCAATATCTCAGGGGCAGCCCCAAAGAAGAGGGAGTCTAGCTATTCTCCAAAGCGCCTGAAGGCAGGACAAGAAGCAACGGGTGGAAACTCATCAAGGAGAGAAGCAACCTGGAATTAAGGAGAAACTTCCTGACAGTGAGAACAATTAGCCAGTGGAACAACCTGCCTCCAGAAGCGGTGAATGCTCCATCACTGGAAGTCTTTAAGAAGAGACTGGACAGCCCTTTGTCTGAAATGGTATAGGGTTTCTTGCCTGAGCAGGGGGTTGGACTAGATGACCTCCAAGGTCCCTTCCAACTTTATTTATTATTATTAAAACGGGACACAACTCCCTCAGCGACTCCTTAGTGATGGAAATTCTGCTGATTGTAAGCCAAGGACCACATTGGAGCCCAACAGTTTTGGTCATTAAGTGAGACATTTGTTCAGCCCCATTATAGGACTTTTCTCGCCGCAGTTGCTGTGTGAATCACTGCAGTGGATAAGTTAGTAATCCTGTCCCTAAATGAAGCTGCCCCCCCCGCTGACTTGGCTTATCAGAAGGTCACAAAAGGGGGACTACGTGACTCTCCCCGGGGCGCTGCGACCGTCGTAAATATGAGTCGGTTGCTAAGCGTCTGAATTTGGATCGCGTGACCGTGGGGATGTTGGAACAGTCGTTAAGCGTGAAAAGGGATCATAAGCCACATTTTTCAGTGCTGTGGTCACTTTGAACGGTCACTAAACGAAGTTGTTGTAAGTCGAGGACAAGCTGAGCTAAGAAAATTGATATGGCTGTCCAACTCAGGGAGACTCTGGGAAGCTTACAGAAATAATACCCCATCACAAAACACAATGAAACACACACACACACCTCATTGCATCAGCAATTGGACGAATTAATTTGTCTGAGATAGTTACAGTATAACCATCTGGCTCTTTTAGGACTGGTGGACTTCAACTCCCAGAATTCCTGAGCCAGCCTGGCTCAGCTTGGAAACCTCTCCCTTTCCCCTCAGCATGGCTGGCTCAGGAATTCTGGGAGTTGAAGTCCACCAGTCATAAAGCGGCCTAGAGCAGGAGTAGGCAACCTCGGCTCTTTTATGACTCGTGGACTTCAAATCCCAGAATTCCTGAGCCAGCATGAGGGAACTATGGCCCTCCTCATGACTCTTGGACTTCAACTCCCAGAATTCCTGAGCCAGCCTGGCTCAGCTTGGAAACCTCTCCCTTTCCCCTCAGCATGGCTGGCTCAGGAATTCTGGGAGTTGAAGTCCACCAGTCACAAAAGAGCCAAGGTTGCTTAGCCCTGGTATAAGGCAGGGGTCCTCAACCTTGGCAACTTTAAGACTTGTGGACTTCAACTCCCAGAATTCCTCGAGCCCCTTGCAAATTAAAGGAATGCTAAGTCTCCTCAACGCCAGCTCAAGTCAGAAGTTAACAGAATAAACAGAGTTGGAAGGGACCTTGTAGGTCATCTAGTCCAACCCCCTGCTCAAGCAGGAAACCCTATACCATTTCAGACAAGTGGCTGTCCAGTCTCTTCTTAAAAACGTCCAGTGTTGGAGCATTCACCACTTCTGGAGGCAGGTCGTTCCACTGGTTAATTATTCTGTGTCAGGAAGTTTTCTCCTTAGTTCCAGGTTGCTTCTCTCCTTGATTAGTTTCCATCCCTTGCTTCTTGTCCTGCCTTGAGGTGCTTTGGGGAATAGATTGACTCCCTCTTCTTTGGGGCAGCCCCTGAGAGATTGGAACACTGCTATCATGTATCCCCTCATCCTTCTCTTCATTAAACTAGACATACCCAATTCCAGCAGCCTTTCCTTATATGTTTTAGCCTCCAATCCCCTAATCATCTTTGTTGCTCTTCTCTGCACTCTTTCTAGAATCTCAACACCTTTTTTACATCACGGTGACCAAAACTGGATGCAGCATTCCAAGTGTGGCCTTACCAAGGCCTTATAAAGCAGTATCAGCACTTCATGTGATTTTTATTCTATCCCTCTGTAGATGCAACTCTGTTAATGCTGCACGCTGCTCTATTCTATTCTGATATTCTGAAGTCCCTTTTTTCAGTTGTAACTCCGAACGGTCGCAAATGGTTATAAATCGGGGACCCCCTGCATTCCAGACCATTCCCCCCCTTCCAAAGGGTCCTTTGAAAAAAGCACAAGAAAAAGAAAAAAAGAGAGAGCTGGGGGTTCAAATAATCCCTCTCGCCGTAATTATCACTCCAAGGGGCCAAGGTATATACATATTTTATTTTTTAAAAAGTTTACAGTTTCTTTAATTATACACAACTATTCTGAGAGGTTATAATCCTTAGAAGAGGCGTTCGCCACGGGGGGGGGGTGTCTGCCCACCCACTACCATCCACGCCACCGCCAGCCACATCATCGCAATGCCAAAAAGAGAGGAGGGGGGAGCTAGCTGCGGCAGCCAAGAGGCGGGTCGGGCTTCCCGTTTGACCTCTTCAAGTATTCACACGTTGTACCAAATACACTCCGGGAAATTAAGCAAAAACTAAAAGAACAACAAAAAAAAAAAACCCTGGCGATTTCTAAACGGGCCCCCCCATCCCCGCTTCGAATTGCAGATCAACACGCAAGGCGACGTTCTAGATCCCAAACCCAGAACGGTGCACGCTGCATTGATCGCCCCTCGTTCCAAATCCGAGCTGGGAGACCCCAGCCTCGTCCAAAAGCTGACCTAGTTCCTATCCGTCTCCTTCTCGCGCCAAAAAGACCCCAATCAACCAAGCAAGAGAACTTTAACTGAAGTTCTCGGGAGTTTTACGTCCGTGCTGAAAGCCCCCCCCCCCAATCTCTGCTCCGGACTCACTAAATAAATAAATTTTTAAAAAAAGAAAATCTGAATTAAGGGGACAAGGCCGGGATTGTCAGGGTGACGTGGAGGCACTGCAGCCTCGCTTCCGTACACGGCTTAAGATACATCCAGGGCGGCTCAGGAAGGCCGCTCAACGGATGGATTGGGGAGATGGAAGAAAGTTAGGTGGCTTCAAAAGTCCCCCTCTAGAAGACGGATCTAGATTGCTAATCGAAAAGGACGGGGTGGGAAGCGTCCCAGGCAGACGGCACGGCGCGCAAGAGATCCGCTCGGTCGCAATTCACTCTGGATTGTCATCTCCACAGGCCGTCTGAAGAGAGCCATCAGCTCCACCAGGGGTTGGTGGTCACCAACTGAAGACCGTTGGCCAGTGGACATTGAACAACCCAGAGAAAGGAGGAGACAGCATCAACCTACGTTAAGGTCAAGGAGGGGAAGGAGACCGAGTTGGAATCTGCTTCGTTTAGCTCAAAGCTTTTGAGGTGCTTCCTTAGTCTCTTCCAAGCTTGATCTCGCCAACATTTGGCCCACCATGATCGCTAGGTCAAGTCAACGCTAGGTCAAGCCAAAGCCAGGCCAAGGAACACCAGAAGTGCTTGCAGCGGGCTGTGTGATGCGTGTGTGTCTGTTGAAACCTACGTTCAAGAACTAATTTCACCTTCAACCATCATCTCGGCCATGAACGTTCAAGAGTTGAGATGCCCCCCCCCCTCCAAAAGGACCTTTGCGAATCAAAAGAGTTTGGCCAGGACAATTTCGGGGGCCAGAATTTGGTGCCAACGTGGGTCATCTTTGTTAAGTTTTCTCTCCTTAATTAAAGCCAGCATTGTGGCTTTGCTTGACGGGAAGGGGGGGGGGAGAAGAAAAAAAAAAGGGATGTTAATTTATGAGCGGTCAACAATCTCAAAATATCAGAAGTCAGACTTTATTGTTTAAAAAAAAAAAAAAAAGATTACCTTCGTGAAGGGAATTAGAACACTAGCGTATTAATATATCTATCTATCTATATGTACAATCATGGGGAGAATGGTTTATTTCGCTCAAAGTGGCACTCCTATCATGATAGATAGCTTGGCACTCCAAAAAAATCTAGACCTCACAGCGCCTAGAGATCATTGCACAGGTCGACCAATTAGCAGCACAGTTAAGGCAGACCGAGCCCATCGTGCACTCCTCCCTGCCGGCTGGGGAGGATGGGGATGGGGTGGCAAATGCAGGAGGAGAACAGGTTAGGGATAGGTAATCTTAAATCAGCGTTTCTCAATTTTAGCCACTTTTAAGATGAGCGGCCTTCAACTGGCTGGGGAATTCTGGGAGTTGAAGTCCGCCCATCTTAAAGGGGCCCAAACTGAGACAATACTGATTGAGAAGGTCCATCTTATCTTCCATCAAGACCCAGAGTGACAAAATGGGGGGGGGTCCCCTATTCCAGAATCACTTCAGCTGCTCACAACCCCAATTTCACTGCTTGTTCCCCCCTCACCAACGTTTTCCAGGCAAAAAAATAAAAATAAGAGAATGACTATGAATAATTTTTGTGGGGGTTTTCCCCATCCTCGCCCCCACTTCATGCCCAAGACGAGATAAGCTCTTGCTTTATTCCAAGAAAACAATCGTGCCAATTAAGGTCTACTTGACAGGTCTTTTCCACACGGGGAAGAAAAAGCAAGCAAAGCAAAGGGATGGCGGTTGAAGATCGGACTCGTTCCGTCAGCCTGCCCCCCCCCCTCAAAACACATACACAAAACTCACCAACCTCAAACCCAGATGGCATTTAAGAAGGATCGGGTGGGAAGGACGCAACTTCTCTTGACAGTCAACGTTCCTTCTTGATTCACCCAAGTTCTGATGATGATTACTAGAAGATACACCCAACTTTCCCGAGCCCTCTACTCAACATCCTGTCCCCCAAATCTCTAGAAATCTAAGGTGCAAGCTCCATCTCAAGGGACATCCAGGCCAGAGAGCAAGTTCCATCTCAAGGGACCTCCTTGCTATCCGCCCTAGTCAACCACCGTCATTTCTGATCTCCCGTTGGAGGGAAGGGGCAGTATGGAGCCATCGGGAATTCGGCTAGTCAAGGAAAGAAGTCATTTGGAGTCCCTTAAACACCACTTTTGACACCAACTGGCTCCCCTTCTTTAAAAGGAGCACCGCGTCCCGCCAAGCATGGTGGGACTTTCTCAGAACATCTGGCCAGCTCGGGCGAGCAACGTCAAAACGGACAGCAGAAAGGATGGCAAGTGCTGTCAAGAGACAGGGTGAGGAGGGAATTTACTAACCAAGTACCAGAACATCCTTTTTTTCACAGGCTCGATCGAATCCACCTGGTCAGAAAGCTCTTCCAGATGTAGACGTTCACCTGGGCGGCATTTGCAGAATTATCAAGAGAACTGAGAAATGGGTGTGTGTAGAGTATCTCTGCTGCTGGTGGTTTGGATAAAAGGACCAAGATGGACTGGGTTCAAGGTACTTTGAGTTAGCGGCCACCTCACCACCCCTTGGACAGGACTGTCCCGCTTCCTTGTCCCTCAGAAAAAAAAAAACCAAGATGACCACATATGACTGTCACGCTGACCTTCACATCTTTCCACCCCCGCTCCCCAGCCTGGACCAACTTAGAAGACCATTATCATCATCACCTCCATCACCAGTCTAAGCAGACAGGAAGTCCGTCAGGAAAAAATGAAAAAAAAAAAAAAAAAAAAAAAGCATACTATACTCAGGATCACAGCTGCTTCGTAAAAGACGGGCACGTCAAGAACTCCATGCATTCAGTTGGTAGATCTTGTTGGGTGTTTAAAAAAAAAAAAAGACCAAAAAAAGAAGAAGAAAAAAGGTGAACTCCATCGAAAAAAGGGGTTAATAAAAGCAGCCAGGTTGAAACGAAGGCGCACCGTTGACTTCACGGCCTTATTATACTTTCCATCGATTAAATCGCGCGCGCGCGCGCACCCCCGTCTCACCCCCCCCAAAAAAATTCTCTTTTACATTCTCAAATTGCTGTTCCGCATTTGCATCCGCGGGCGTCTGCTGTCTTTGGAACGCTCGACTTAAAAAGGAAAGAAAAGAAGGAAGGAAGAAAAAAAAAAAAAACGGGAAATTTTAAAAAGAAAAAAAAAAGGGGGGGGCGGGGGGGGTAGGGGAGGGCATTATCCAGATTCTCTCCAGAGCAAAGCAGCAGGTTCCGGGGGAGGTGGGGAGGGGGATTTGAACTCAGCTGAAATGGAATTACGAAGAGATGCAAGCATGCGCCCGGGTTCATATTGCTACCAAGTGGAATGTCGGAAACGCACCGCAATGCATGTTTTGGGGGCTCTTTGAGAAATGACCAAAAAAGAAACAAAAACGAAAAAAAAAAAATCAAGATCTAAAGGGTGGAGATATATATATATATATATAATATGTGTGTGTATATATATATATATATATATATATATACCTCTGAATGCTATTATTCATAAAAACCTTGTTTAGTAATAAAAAATTGCTTTGTTTAAATATGAATATTATAGTCTGCTTCTCAGCGCATGGTCAGGAAGTCAAGTCTCTCCGAAAAGCAGGACGCTGCTTCTACTACAATTCCATATCTTGGGCCTCGTCCTCGGAAAAGTCAGACATGGAACTTTCCGAAGAGCTGTCGCCGGTCCCTTCTTCCTGCTCTTTGAGGGCCTCCTCTGTTGCATATTTCTGAATGTATTCTGGAGGGAGGGAAAAACAGAGGAAACAATCAACTCCAATGATCCAAGATCAAACATCCATCCATCCATCCATCCATCCATCCATCCATCCATCCCTATCTATCTATCTATCTATCTATCTATCTATCTATCTATCTATCTATCTATCTATCTTTTCTAATTATCTATCAATATTCTCTAATTATCTATCTCTATCTACTCTCTAATTATCTATTATCTCTATCATTTCTCTCTCAAATTATCTAATCTATTATCTCACTATCTCTCTCTCTCTAATCATCTATCATCTCTATCATCTATCATCTCTCTCTAATTCTATCTATCTATCTAATCTATTACCTATCTCACTATCATCTATCTATATCTATCTATAATTATCTAATTATCTATCTACTCTCTCTCTATTATCTATCTCACTATTTATCATCTATCTATATCTATCTATCTATCTATCTATATCTATCTATCTATCTATCTATAATTATCTATCTAATTATCTATCTACTCTCTCTAATTATCATCTATCATCTCTAATTATCTATGTCTGTCTATCTATCTATCTAATTATTATCTATCTCACTATTTATCCTGTCTGTCTGTCTATCTATCTCACTATTTATCCTGTCTGTCTGTCTGTCTGTCTGTCTGTCTCTCTCTCTCTCTCTATCTATCTATCATCCAGTCGGAGCCGAAGAAGCTTCTTGGATTAGAAGTGAAACATCTTCAAAGAAAAGTAAGTAAGTCCAGTTGCTTCATGGAAAAGCACCTTTGGGACGCTCTCTCTCTCTTCCATCTATCATCTCTCTCTCTCTCTCTCTCTCTCTCTCTCTCTCTCTCTCTCTCTCTCTCTCTCTCTCCCTCCCTCCCTCCCTCCCTCCCTCTCAGATTCATTGGCTGCCCGTCTTGCTACAGGGTTAACTCTATGGTCCCCATTGCTTAGCCTCTTTTCCACAGAGCCCTTACCTTTAATTTTCTGCTTGTATTCTTCTGGTCGGTGAAGGTACATGGCTGCGGCGTCACCATTAAGGGGGTCTATGGGGTTGGGATAGGCCAGCAACTGGGGCAGGAACGACTCAAATATATTGGTAAGATCTGAAAGGATCAACACAAAGGGAAGCTTTAGGTTTTAACCATTAGGAGGGTTTTGATGTTGCGGAAAGGGCTTGAAACGTTTAGAAATGTAAAGGAGAGGCGGTTAACTTTTAAAATATTTTATTACCCTGAAAAAAACTGGAAGTCACTACTTTTTTTCTTTTTTTTAACCTCTTTTGGCATTTCTCCTTCTCTTTCTCGAACTTCCTCCATTTTTGTTTGTGCTTGTATTTAATTTTACAACAATTAGTGAAAAGTCTTCGGGAAAAAACACACGCAAAAGGTTTTAAAAACAATTTGTGCCTTCCAGAGTCTCCCCTTCCCTTCGTCATACCATTTTTCTCACTTCCCTGTCTTGAATTCCCAGGTTTTCTAGAACAGGGGGTCTTCCTCTGTTTGACCCAAAGACCCCTTCTCCTGGCCTCAAATAATGTCCTGATCCCACTGCCAGAGAATCAAAGCAGACTGTCCTTTTCTGCAAGCGTCTTGACAGTGACAGTCCCAAGCTCATCCCTAATTGCAAAGTCCTTGGTGCTCTCTGACTTTGCAGACCTTTTTATTGCACTGATGATGTTCCCCAGTTTGGGAATGAAACGTCTGCAAAAAAATTACCAAGCTCAGAGAGCACCAAGGACTCCACAGTCCTCCTCCTCTCTGCAAACCCCGTTCCCTTCTAGCACTGATGATGTTCCCTAGTTGGGTCATGAAATGTCTGCAAGAAAACTACCAAGCTCAGAGAGCACCTGGGACCCCACAGTCCTCCTCCTCCTCCTCAATTTCAAATTGCTCTATTAACCCCAGGAAATAATATAATATAATATAATAATATAATATAATATAATGTAATGTAATGTAACGTAATGTAACAATACAATACAATATAACGTAACATAACATAACATTATAATATAATATAATATAATATAATATAATGTAATGTAATGTAACATTATAATGTAATGTAATGTAACGTAACGTAACATAACATAATATTATAATATAATATAATATTATAATATAATAGCATAGCATAGCATAGCATAGTACAGTATAGTATAGCAGAGCAAATTAGAATAGAAGATATAGAAAAGAAGAATAGAGTAGAATAGAAGATACAGAATAGAGTAGAATAGATTAGAAGATATAAAACACAATAGAGTAGAATAGAACATATAGAATAGAATAGAGTAGAATAGAAGATACAGAATAGAGTAGAATAGATTAGAAGATATAAAACACAATAGAGTAGAATAGAACATATAGAATAGAATAGAGTAGAATAGAAGATATAGAATAGATTAGAATAGAAGATATAGAATAGAGTAGAGTAGAGTAGAATATAAGCTGGAAGGGACCTTGGAGGTCTTCTAGTCCAGCCCCCCACTCAAGCAGGAGGACCTATACCATATCTCAGACAGGTATATACTGTATATATATGTCCAACCCCCTTCTTTTTAAGAACCACTGTTCTAGGACTTGTGCAAAAATGACCTGGATATGGAGTCCATCCCACAGAGAGGACAAGGAAGGAAAAAACAAAGGAACAGGAAGCTGAGCAACATTGCCTTAACCCAACACGGATGGAAAACCTTTCAACTCGTGTTTCCCCCTCTTCTCCCTTCCTCTTTTTAAGTTTTTACCTGCTGGCTTCCAGTAACGGCCCCAATCATTTCAACCCATCATTTGTGACTGCCATCTTGATTTTTTTTTTGACCTCCCTCCCGGTGGACCTGTCTAAAAGGCAAAGGGATGGATGCGCTTCTCCAGTGCATTTTGCAAACCACCCCAATTTCTTGGGTTTTTTTGGTGTGTGTGTTTTTTTTAAGGAAAACAAAGAAACAAATGCAACCTACCGTAGAGAGCTGTCCAAGTCTGATTAATTACATCTAGACATACGGTTCCTGACCTGGAATACGCAAACAAAAAATAGTTTGGGACAATTCAACAAGAGTTTAATTTTGTCCGTGCCCTGTGGGCATTTAAGTGGAGCAGCTGGCCTGATAGATTAGATAATCTTTATTGTCATTTTTTTCCCCTGTGGGCATAACGGCACACATGAAAAACGAAATTTAGTGGCTTGCTCTCCAAATGTACACTTACATAGCACACGTTTAAAACATGTTCTATACAACATATGTATAGCCCTACACCCTTAAGTACGTAACATGTAAACATTAATCACTATCCATCTTGAAAACATAACGGAAGGAGGAAGGCTTTAGAGCAGGGGTTTTCAAACTTGGCCCTTTGATGACTAGTGGACTTCAACTCCCAGAATTCCACAGCCAGGCACGCTGGCTGAGGAATTCTGGGAGCTGAAGTCCACGAGTCATAACAGGGCCAACTTTGAAGACCCCTGGGTTAAAGTTCACCAGGTTAACACTGTATGGGAGAAAATTGGGACTGAACCCCACAAAATTGGTTGTGCAAAATATTTCCTCTATTTTGAATGAGAAACTCATTCAAAAGGATCTAAGATAACACTTCTCAACCTTGGTGAGCTTAAGATGGGTGGACTTCAACTCCCAGAATTCCCCAGCCAGCTGCTGTCTCTCTCTATATATATCTACTCTCTAATGGTCTATCTCTACCTATCATCTAATAATCTAATCTAATCTAATCTAATCTAATCTATCTTCTAATTATCTACCTCTATCATCTCTCTAATTATCTTATCTATCTATCTATCTATCTATCTATCTATCTATCTATCTATCTATCTATCTATCTAATTATCTATCTGTCTGTCTGTCTGTCTGTCTATCTATCTATCTATCTATCTCTCTCTCTATCTCTCTATCTATCTATCTATCTATCTATCTATCTATCTATCTATCTATCTATCTATCTATCTATCTATCTATCTACCTACCTACCTCTATCATCTCTCTAACTATCTATCTATCTATCTTCTAATTATCTACCTCTATCATCTCTCTAATTATCTCTAATTTCTCTATCTTCTAATTATCTATTTACCTCTATCATCTCACTAATTATCTCTCTATCTTCTCTCTAATTAATCTATCATCTCTCTAATTATCTGTCTGTCTGTCGATCATGTTACAACAGCACTGAAAAAAGTGACATGACCATTTTTCACACTTACGACCGTCGCAGTGTCCACACGGTCACGTGATCAAAACTCATGACCCTGGGACGCCGCAACCATCATAAAGGTGAGTCAGTTGCCGAGCGTCCGAATTTTGAGCAGGTGACCCCGGGGATGCTGCAACAGTGGTTAAGTGTGAAAAACGGCCCTCAGTTGCTTTTTTTCAGTGCCGTTGTAACTTTGAACGGTCACTAACTGAATTGTTGTAAGACAAAGACGACCTGTATAAAAATGACTAGCTGCAGGCCCACCTTAACAGAAAGGAACCATTTCTTGCCATAGCTCCAGAAATTTACAATTTTTTAATTTCCAATCTGGCAATCAAGGCAACGCCAGAGGAAGCAGCTGTTATGGCTGTGCTTGATGCCCTGTTTCTCTTAATGTCCAAGAAGGCGAAGGGAAGCTGCAGGCCCTGGGGACTGCCTTTAAATCAGTGTTTCTCAACCTTGACAATTTTAAGGCATGTGGACTTCAACTCCCAGAATTCCACAGCCAGCATTGCTGGCTGTGGAATTCTGGGAGTTGAAGTCCACATGCCTTAAAATTATCAAGGTTGAGAAACACTGCTTTAAATCAACCCAAGGTGAGTTAATACGTGGTGACAGCTGTGCTCCTAGTTGGCATTTTAAAAATAACTCCTCTTCTAAGCCAAGTCATTTCCGGTATCTAGACTAGCTAAGGTTTATCCAAAGGCAGGCTGAGCGATGCAGAGACCCCCATCTTTCACGAGACGGGAAGTTGGAAGACCATCTTAACTCCTCGGCTTCTCCTTAGGGAAACAAAAGTGAAGATAACTCAGGGGTCTTCAAACTTGGCCCTTTTAGGACTTGTTGGACTTCAACTCCCAGAATTCCTCAGCCAGCCTCCATTTTGTTTATTAGATTTAAGACAGGGGTCTTCCAACGTGGCCCTTTTAGGACTTGTGGACTTCAACTCCCAGAATTCCTCAGCCAGCCTCCATTTTGTTTGTTAGATTTAAGACAGGGGTCTTCAAACTTGTCCCTTTTAGGACTTGTCGGACTTCAACTCCCAGAATTCCTCAGCCAGCCTCCATTTTGTTTGTTAGATTTAAGACAGGGGTCTTCAAACTTGGCCCTTTTAGGACTTGTCGGACTTCAACTCCCAGAATTCCTCAGCCAGCCTCCATTTTGTTTGTTAGATTTAAGACAGGGGTCTTCAAACTTGGCCCTTTGATGACTCGCGGACTTCAACTCCCAGAATTCCTCAGCCAGCCTCCATTTTGTTTGTTAGATTTAAGACAGGGGTCTTCAAATGTGGCCCTTTTATGACTTGGCTGGCTGAGGAATTCTGGGAGTTGAAGTCCACAAGTCCTAAAAGGGCCACGTTTGACGACCCCTGAGATAACTGGTGCTTAAAACCTCTTTTAAGTCGGTGTTTCTCAGCTTTGGGGCCTTTAAGATGGGTGGACTTCAACTCCCAGAATTCTCTGCCTGGGGAATTCTGAGGGAGTTGAAATCCACCATTTTAAGGTCCGAAGGTTGAGAAACGCTAACTTTTACCTGTTTTACTCGCTTCCTGTTGTGGGACTGGAGAAATGTAGAAAACCAAACATCATCACATTCCCCCCCCTCAAATAAAATATAATTTCAATGCAAACCAAAGTCACTTACGCTTCGTCAATGTTGGGATGAAAAATTTTATTCATGAATCCTAGGAGAGAAACATGAGAGACGTGAGAACGACTGAGCATCAAGCAAACATTCAGCACTTGCCAAAAGGAGATAGAAGAGCGAAACGGTGGAAAAAGTTCCCTCAGATTCAATGCTCTAAGTCAGGGGTCTTCAAACTGGGCCCTGTTATGACTTGTGGACTTCAACTCCCAGAATTCCTCAGCCAGGCATGCCTGGCTGAGGAATTCTGGGAGTTGAAGTCCACAAGTCATAACAGGGCCACATTTGAAGACCCCCCCCCCGCTCTAAATCAAGGGGTAGGCAACCTGGGTTCTTTTATGACTTGTGGACTTCAATACTCAGAATTCCTGAACCAGCCATGCTGACTCAGGAATTCTGGGAGTTGAAATCCAGGAGTCATGAAAGAGCCAAGGTTGCCTACCCCTGCTCTAAGTCAAGGGGTCTCCCAGCTTAACAACTTCTAAGACTTGTGGACTTCAACTCCCAGAATTCCTCAGAAGAACAGAGTTGGAAGGGACCTTAGAGGTCTTCTAGTCCAACCCCCTGCTCAGGCAGGAAGGCGCTATATACCCTTTCAGACAAATGGCTGTCCAATCTCTTCCAGTGTTGCAGCACCCACAACATCTGGGGGCAAGTCGCTCCACTGGTGAATTGCTCCGTTAGTTAATTAATAGTTTAATTAACTGTTCTAACTCAGGATGGCTGAGGAATAGTGGGAGTTGGGAGTGCCCACGTCTTTGGCCACGTATGGAGACTCCTGCTCTAAGTGACTTTCTTAAATTGTCAGTAACCACCATCCTTATTTATGGAGTCATTCTATCCAAGGATTCTCAGTCTCCAGTTCTTGAAACCATGACATTACGGCAAGTCCTCAGCTTACGGCCATTTGTTCAGCAACCGTTTGAAATTACAACAGACCCCTGGAAAAGTGACTTCCAACCCAAAATTTATATCAGGGGTCTTCAAAATTGGCCCTTGGATGACTTGTGGACCTCAACTCCCAGTATTCCTCAGCCAGCCTCCATTTTGTTTCTTAGATTTAAGACAGGGGTCTTCAAAATTGGCCCTTGGATGACTTGTGGACTTCAACTCCCAGTTTTCCTCAGCCAGGCACACTGGCTGAGGAATTCTGGGAATTGAAGTCCGACAAGCCATAAAAGGCCAAGTTTGAAGACCCTTGCCTTGTACCTCCTCATGGGCGGTGGTCAAAAGGCAACTGGCCGGTATTTATGACAGTTTTGCACCATCCCGGGTGCAAATCACGCGATCACCTTTTGCGACCATCCCATTCAGCTTCGGACAAGCCAGGTCAATGGGGAAAGCCAGATTTCGCTTAACTACTTTTAGCGATCCGCTTAATAGCGGTGGCATAAAAACCGGGCGAAACTCGCTGAACCACTGCCTTCCTTAGCAATGGAAATTTGGGGCTGTTGTGGTCGCCAAGTCATGGCGTTCCGGTAGTCGACTTCCCCAAAAGGAGCTGGCAGCCGATTCCAGAGGTGAATTGTCGGGTTCAGGAGAAACTGTTCAGGACTCCAGCATTAAGGACTGAATGCATCTAAAAAAGCAAATTATCTGGGATCTGGAATAGTGAAGGAAAGTAACACTCCAGTGGTTTGAGCCATGCACTACTACTACTACTACTACTACTACTACTACTAATAATAATAATCCCAAAACAACTGGAGCACCACTTGAACACCATCATCGGCATTGACAAATTCGCCATTAGTCAATTGCAAAAAGCGGCCTTACTAGGAACTGCTTCCATCCTGCGACGAGATCTGTAATACCATCAAACATCCACATCTGCCTCTCCCGGGTCCTGGTTAAGGACTCAATAGGTAGACAAAATGCCAAATCCAGTCTGAACATCTGGCTGACTGTGCGATGATCCATAATAATAATAATAATCATAATAATAATTATAAAGTTGGAAGGGACCTTGGAGGTCATCTAGTCCAACTCCCTGCTCAGGCAGGAAGCACTACACCATTTCAGACAAATGGCTGTCCAGTCTCTTCTTAAAAACTTCCAGTGTTGGAGCATTCACCGCTTCTGGAGGCAGGTTGTTCCACTGGTTACTTGTTCTCAGTGCCAGGAAATTTCTCCTTAGTTCTAGGTTGCTTTTCTCCTTGATTAGTTTCCATCCGTTGCTTCTTGTCCTGCCCTTCTGGTGCTTTGGAAAATAGCTTGACTGCCTCTTCTTTGGGGCAGCCCTTGAGATACTGCAAGACTGCTATCACATCCCCCCTCGTCCTTCTCTTCATTAAACTAGACATACCCAATTCCAGCAGCCATTCCTTATATGCTTTAGCCTCCAGTCCCCTAATCATCTTTGTTGCTCTTCTCTGTACTCTTTCTAGAGTCTCAACATCTTTTTTACATCGTGGTGACCCAAACTGGAGGCCCTATTCCAAGTGTGGCCTTACCAAAGCCTTGTAAAGTGGTATTAACCCTTCACGTGATCTTGATTCCATCCCTCTGTTCATGCAGACTAGGACCGTGTTGGCCTTTTTGGCTGCTGCAGCACACGGCTGGCTCGCATTTAAGTGATAACCATTTAAAAAACTTTAAAGGGTTCCTCATAAGCTGAACTATAAACTTGCTCTTGATGGCCTTTGTGGAATTTGTCCCAGATGGATTTTTTTTTATATTAATGGCAATGTTTAATCTCTTACCTATAGATGGGGATTTGAAAGGATATTTGTCAGGAAGGTCCACTCTAACTTTCCACACCCCACCTTCGTACGGTGCTGCAATTGGAAGATTTTACAAAAGAAAGGTTACTTGGATATTTCATTGATGCTTCCATACATAACATTATTTAGCTGGACACCCAATTCTAACAAACAGGCTGGAGAATTAAGAGCTTGCATCAGTAGGTTAGTATTTCTTATTTTGAGATTTTAGTTGCTGGCTTCTAAATATATCAGTTTTGACAGCTATCGGCAGCCAGAGAAGGCAATGCCCACTTAGAGGGATTTGAAGCTTAACCCAATGTAAAATGTCTCCTGTGCCAACATGGGCATTGGACACCTCCCCAAATTATCTCTCCCCCCCCCAATCCTCCCTCCATCCTCCAGAGGTCAACCACCAAGAAAAAAAAAAAGTTTCTTTCCAACATCTTTATGCGACTCGGGAGTATACCTACTTCCTTGTGGTCCATAAAACTTCACTACAAATTCATTGAGTCCTCCTAGGATTGTGACTTCGTGTTTGCTCTCAATACTGAAGGCGTCGGAGTCAAGGAAAATGTTGGATGCAAAGACGAATTAAGAAATCTGTTCACTTAAGAAAAGTCAGCAATCCAGGAATGGGCAAGAATTGAATTCATTCAAATGCTTCTGAGTCATCCTGAAATGATTATTGAAACTCAATTATATTTTTAAATCTGTCTGTCTATCTATCTTCATCATTATCTATCTATCTATCTATCTATCTATCTATCTATCTATCTATCTATCTATCTATCTATCTATCATCGGTCTTTTTCTGTCATCCATCCATCTCTCTATCTCTCTATATCTATGTAGGTCTTTGGTTATTCGGGTTTCCTCCCGCGTCAAATTGGAAGTGTCTTGGTGACATTTCGACGAAGTCCCATTCGTCATCTTCAGGTTGGTGTTTTCGGCTTCGTGCTTCTAGGAAGAAACAGCTATGATCACACATTGTTCCTAGAAGCACGAAGCCAAAAACACCAGCCTGAAGATGACGAATGGGACTTCGTCGAAACGTCGCCAAGACACTTCCAATTTGATGCGGGAGAAAACCCGAATAACCAAAGACCTACATACAAACACCCACGAAAACCTCAGAAAACATTATCTATCTATCTATCTATCTATCTATCTATCTATCTATCTATCTATCTATCTATCTATCTATCCATCCATCCATTCACATCTCTCTATCCATCTCTCCATATCCATCCATCTCTTCTCTATTCATCTCTCCATTACCTATCTATCCACCCATCATCCACATCTCTCTATCTCTCTGTATTCATCCATCCATAAATGAGGACCCAGATTGTTGGGGCCCAAGAGGCCGACTTTGGAAACCGCTTAGGGAGGGCTGTAAAGCACTGTGAAGTGGTGTATAAGTCTAAGTGCTATGGTTAAGGTACAAGGAAGGAAGGAAGGAGGGAAGGAGGGAGGGAGGGAGGGAGGGAAGGAAGGGAGGGATCCTGGTGGCGCAGTGGTTAGAATGCAGTGTTGCAGGCTAATTCTGCCCACTGCCAGGAGTTCAATCCTGACCGGCTCAAAGTTAACTCAGCCTTCCGTCCTTCCAAGGTCAGTAAAATGAGGACCCAAATGGTTTGGGGGGCGGCACAGGCTAACTCTGTAAACCGCTTAGAGAGGGCTGTCAAGCACTGTGAAGCGGTATGTAAGTCTATGTGCCATTGCTATTGCTACGTAGAGGTTTAAGTGCTGGCGGGTCTGACATTTCCATTCATAGGACGCCGTGTCTCTAATCTTTTTTTCTTCTTCCAAGACGGAGCGTCTTAATTTGCTTCCCTTCAGCTACAGCAGTGTTTCTCAACCTTGACCATTTTAAGGCATGTGGACTTCAACTCCCAGAATTCCACAGCCAGCATTGCTGGCTGTGGAATTCTGGGAGTTGAAGTCCACATGCCTTAAAATGGTCAAGTTTGGGAAACACTGCGCTACAGCCTCTCATGCTGGAAACCACGCCAAGGGAGGGAATGGCTGCTTTAGCCGCTCCAAGACTTGGATGTTGGCAAATCATAGCTTGAGTTGCAGGAGACCCGAGTTGGCAGTTGGGTGGTAGAACTTTGGCAACCATCTCCAGGTCTGATGCCTCGTTGTTTGTGGGTTTTCTGAGACGTTGGCCACCGCCCAGCCCTTTCCCAAAGCCAGGGTAACATGCTGGCACGTCGGTTGCCACGAAACGGACCCGTGCGTCAAGACAGAGGGGAGGGTGGGAAAAGTTCTACGTCGCCACGAAACTTCCACTTGAGGAAGAAATGCACAGAGAAGACACCGCCCCGGGGCCGGCTTCACCAAGGCAAGATGAAGAGAAGGGAAAAAGACATGAAGAAGAAGGAGATAAAAGACAGAAAAATGAAGAAGACAGAGTAATAAGCTCGTCTACTCTCTGCAGAAGACCCAAGCGGGCTCCAGAAATCTCTCGAGCAAAATGGCAGAAGTCACCGTCCTTGGAAATGGGCCAGCGGGACGGAACCTCGGTTTCCCGTCAAACTTGCTAGCTTTTCCTAACTCCCGAATTTCCAAACTGGAAACTCTCGAGCAATAGTAAAGAGACCATTGGGCCTCCCCAGAATCCCCCAGCCAGCGTGTCCATTGGAAAATTCTGAGAATTGAAGGCCACCCATCTTAAAACATGCTAGCTGGGGAATTCTGGGAATTGAAGGCCCCACATCTTGAAGCATGCTGGCTGGGGAATTCTGGGAATTAGCCATATATCTTAAAGCATTCTGGCTGGGGAATTCTGGGAATTGAAGGCCACCCATCATAAAGCATGCTGCCTGAGGAATTCTGGGAGTTGAAGTCCACCCATCTTAAAGCATTCTGGCTGGGGAATTCTGGGAATTGAAGGCCACTCATCTTAAAGCATGCTGGCTGGAGAATTCTGGGAGTTGAAGTCCACCCATCTTAAAATATTCTGGCTGGGGAATTCTGGGAATTGAAGGCCACACATCATAAAGCATGCTGGCTGGAGGATTCTGGGAGTTGAAGTCCACCCATCTTAAAATATTCTGGCTGGGGAATTCTGGGAATTGAAGGCCACCCATCTTAAAGCAGGCCGGCTGGGGGATTCTGGGAGTGGAAGTCCACCCATCATAAAATATTCTGGCTGGGGAATTCTGGGAATTGAAGGCCACACATCATAAAGCATGCTGGCTGGGGAATTCTGGGAGTTGAAGTCCACCCATCTTAAAATATTCTGGCTGGGGAATTCTGGGAATTGAAGGCCACCCATCATAAAGCATGCTGGCTGAGGAATTCTGGGAGTTGAAGTCCACAAGTCATCCAAGGGCCAAGTTGGAAGACCCCTGGCTCACTTCCCTCTTACTCAAAAGCAATTCCAGGTATTTTAAGAAGCTCCCCCTGCTGATATTTCCTAGCTGCTATTCAATTTTCCTATTATTTTTTTTCCCCAACGGACTCCTCTTCTATTTCAGCCATCAATTCACTAACTGATCAAAAGACTTTCTCTGCAAGAACTATCAGAATTCACAGAGAGCGTGAGAAAGAAAAAAACAACAACCCCGAACTGGAAAATACAAAGAGACTTGCCAATCTGCCCCCCCCTCCATTTACCCACAGGAAAAAGTCATGCAAAAGCCCAGTTAACCCCCCCCTCCCCCCAAAAGGGGGGGGGGAAAGCTGTTTTGAATCTCAAATATTCCTTTGGCCTCAAATAACCCGCTGAAAGAAACATCACCCGAAGCTCGGATTGTGCCAAATCTGAAACCGGGCCCTCGCTAGACAATAGTTGTGTTATTTTCAGAGAGGGCAGCTGCTGATTTCACTTTTCTTGAGACAATTTAAGGGGGGGGGGAGGGGAGGAGAAGGAGGAGAATGCAGAAGTGCCTTTTTGTTAAAAAGAAAAAAGAAAAAAGACTGGTCCAAACAGGCTTTCAAGGACAGGGCTGAAAGCAACGACAGGCAAAAAGGAGACAAAAAAAAACAAAACAAAACAAAAAAACAAGACAAAAAAACAAAACAAAACTTTATCCCTAAAGTTATTCATAGGAATTGAGCCTGGAAGCAGAAAATTTAACCTGGATCAGAATGAACAAACCCCTTCTAGCACTGAGGATGTTCCCTAGTTGGGTCATGAAACATCTGCAGGAAAACCACCAAGCTCAGACAGCACCAAGGACCTCATAGTCCTTGTTGTCGTCCTTTTCCATTGCCCAAATCTCCTTCCTTCTAATGCTGATGATGTTACCTAGTTGGGTCATGAAACGTCTGCAAGAAAACTGGCAAGCTAGAAGAGCACCAAGGACCTAACCCTCCTCCTCCTTTTCCATTTACCACATCCCCTTCCTTCTAACACTGGTGATGTTCCCTAGTTGGGTCACGAAACGTCTGCAGGAAAATCACCAAGCTCAGACAGCACCAAGGACCACCACCTCCTCCTTTTCCATTTATCAAATCCCCTTCCTTTTAACACTGATGATGTTCCCTAGTTGGGTCACGAAATGTTTGCAAGAAAGCCACCAAGTTCAGAGAGCACCACAGTTCTTCTCCCCCTCCCTCCTCCTTTTCCATTTCCCAAATCCCCTTCCTTCTAGCGCTGATGATGTTACCTAGTTGGGTCATGAGAGGTCTGCAAGGAAACAATTCTCCTCCTCCTCCTCCCTTCTTCATCCCTGTCATTCCGTTTTTCCTCTTCTCCTTCTCCTTTAGCGCAGGCCGAGAACTGGGGTGAGATTTTTCACGTCGAAAATTCACCAAATTCGACTTCTGGCCCAACCCCCTCCCCTGCAGTCCTCGACTTACAACGGTTTGTTTAGCGGCTATTCGAAGTTACAACGGCACTGGGAAAAAAGTGGCTTCTGACCGTTTTTCACCCTTACGGCCGTGGCCGCATCTCCACAGCCGCGTGATCAGAATTCAGACCCTTGGCAAGCGGCTCGTATTTATGACGGGTTTGCAGTGTCCCTGGGGGGGGGGGGTGTCACGTGATCCCCTTTTGGGACCTTCTGACAAGCAAAGTCAAGGGGGGGGGGAAATCCAGATCCACTTAACGACCGTGTTACTAGCTTAACAACTGCAGTGGCGAGAAAGGTCATGAACTGGGGCAAAATTCACTTAACAAATAATAATAAAGTTGGAAGGGACCTTGGAGGTCATCTAGTCCAACCCCCTGCTCAGGCAGGAAAGCCTATACCATTTTGGACAAATGGTTCTCCAGTCTCTTCTTTAAAACTTCCAGTGTTGGAGCATTCACCGCTTCTGGAGGCAGGTGGTTCCACTGGTTAATTGTTCTCACTGTTAGGAAGTTTCTCCTTAGTTTCATGTTGCTTCTCTCTTTGGTTAGTTTCCATCTGTTGCTTCTTGTCCTGCCTTCAGGCACTTTGGAAAATAGCTTGACTCCCTCTTCTTTGGGGCAGCCCCTGAGATACTGGAAGACTGCTATCACATCCCCCCTCGTCCTTCTCTTTGTTAAACTAGACATTCCCAATTCCATCAACCGTTCCTTATATGTTTTAGCCTCCAGTCCCCTGATCATCT